GTTATGTTTATGGTTGAAGTTATTTTAAGTTCCTGAGATTCTACTATGTAACCAATTGCCATAACAATATTGATATTCTTAAATTCCTAAAATCACATATGGTGAAACATTAGCTTATTACGCTTATACCAAGTTTTTATAAATTTCTAAGAAATTCCTAATTTGTTTCACATCAGAAGCTCATGCCGTGGGAGGGGGGGTGGCCTCATGCATGCATGTATTAACATGTGGGATAAATTTAAAAGTACATGTGACCGTCTTTCTTGACTGGCAGATAAAGACTAAGTTATAAATAAGCATTCAAAGACCAAAAAGTTTTTTTTTTCTTGGCTAATGGCATTGAAGACTAAGACTATAGTGTTTCATGACATCAATCATATACGTGTTTCTTAGCGCAATGAAAAGTTCTAACATGTCTAATGAAGCCCTTTATGCATAGAAGGCATCAGGATACTACCAAAATTTTTATTAATAGTGGACCCAAACAGAACTTAAAAAGAATTTGTTTAGCACAAAATTGATTGTGTGTGTATATTAAAACTCAAAAAATAAATTAATCAAAATAAGATCTAAGTTGCAAAAATGAAAAAATAAAATTGACCTAAAACAAGACTTACAAGGGACACATGGGGAACTTAAAAGCTTGCCAACGGGCGCAAAACAAGATCTCCCCGTAACCTCTAAAACACTCGCAAATATGAAAAATCTAAGAGAACACACCCTCTAATCTGAACTCTAGATGAAAATGAGCCAAAGAGAAGGACCCGATTTATAGCATGAAAATTAATCATTTGTGGGGCCCACCAAAAATCCAATCACATAAAAATGAAGAAAGTACGCATGTGTAAAATATGACAATATGCCATTTCGGGGGGCTTGCATCCAAATTCTTTATGCACGTACAAGTGGACAAAAATGTGAGCAATAATAAACTTAAATATGAATGATAATTAACTTAAAATATGAAATTATGGATATAACCTCACGATAGCACATTTATGTGAAAGATTGGAACGTCGGACCTTTACAAATCTCCAATAGTTATTTAACCTATCTAAACAAAATAAATGAACAAACTAGCTTTAAATCATGGTTGTATGAGTGCCCTAGGCAACATATATGCTAGCTACTAAAGAAAAGGAACTCATGCCCATCGTGAACATGTTGTACATCTGTGAGTGCATATATTGAAAAGAAATAAGATAATACACTACCGCACATTATGGGTTGCACGACTACTTCAATAAAGTGTGCATGATGAATCAAATTACCAAAAGAGAAGTTTATCTACATATTCCCTATACGTATAATACAAGTGTCCCTAAGACATACAAATACACTGCACAAGCGCACTAAGAAGAGTACAAGCGTTCAAGTAAGCCAACACACTACATAAGTGCATCAGCATTGTGCAAGTGTACTACAAAATACACAAGTGCATTGAGCGTATGCACCGTGGAACATGCAAAAATATTCTGCAAGTGCATCAAAAAGGGGGAAAATGCAATGAAACTTTGCAATCAATTTTTAAATTGAAATCTACATTGGAAATGAAATTCTTCTCTATTCATTGGCGCTCACTTCAAATATGAAAATGTGACATCAAAAAATTCAACTAGAAAATAATAATTGATTTTTTTTAACTTCTCACTTTGAATAGCATGCAAATATGCTAAGCAAATATATACAATAACATTACGTGAATTCATCGAAAAATGTGTCAACATAATCAAAGTATGCAGATCTGTCATACAAGCACATCAAAAAGCATACAAGTGCATCATGCAAATGCATTGAAAAGGGCACACATTATTTAAAAAGAAACTTAAAATTTCCTCATTTGCTTCGACAAATATGTTAAGATTAAATTCACCGTATGAGAATGTTGTGCGGGTTCCAATCCTCCTCCTTTAAGTTCATGTTAGGCCTTAACTATCTTTTGCAATAAAAATTCATTAAAAAATACAAACTCTCGGATTTGACACTCATGCAAGTGCTCATAAAGTTGATATCGACCCGATGCTCGTTGGAGGATAAATGGAGGTAATAAAGCTTGAATAACATAATAAAAAAAGAAAGTTGCACAGTTGAATATGAACTTAAATATCAAGTCCATTCTCCTCAAAAGGACTGAAGTTGATGAGATTTAAGTTAACAAGCAAATGTAGGGCCTAGAAATTTACCAAGTCATTTGATTTTAATGTTTATATTAGGCCATCTAGGCCTCTAGGAGAAAGTTCATTACAAACAAATACGAACTCTCGAGCTTAATGTCCTCATAAAGATTCATAAAGCTTATATGCGACTTGGGAAAAGGACCAAAATGGTCTCTTGACTCTTTATGAAAGACCAAACTAATCTCTGACTATTTTAAAGGAACATTTTGATCCCTCAACTCTTTAAAGAGGAATTAAAATAGTCCCACCATGGGTCTATTTTGGTTCCTCTTTAAAAACTTGAGGGACCAAAATGGTCCTTAAATATAGTTGGGATCATTTTTGTCCTTCATACAGAGTTAAATAACTATTTTAATCATTTTCTCTATGCGACTCTGATCCTCTCTCGGCAAGTGAACAGAATTGACAGGGTTAAAACAAAAAAGCAAAATTATTTAAACCCCACTGATGGTCGTGTTAACAGAAAATCTCAAATAGATGAGACCACTTAATTTATAAAAATATCCTCAAATTTCAATGTTACTTTTTGGGGCCTAAATTTTAATAAAGTTGCAAATTTAATATCTATCAAAATTTAAATATTTAAAGTGGCTTTAATAACAAAAGAAAGCTTAAAACTAAGTCTATTCACCATTCGCAATAGTTTATCAAATTCGATAAATTTGATAATAACCTCCCCTCATAAAGAGAAAATATCTAATCGAGAATATCACAAAGATTCATTCTAAAATAATCTCTCACCAGTAAGGATGTAACACATGTCCTCTAACTGGTTATTTTTCTGTCAAATAGCACAGATAAAAAATTATAATCAGGGCCCTCTAACCAAATAATTATCGCAAAATGACACCATTATATTACGGGCATGATCATAGCCCATATATTCTCCAATGACTCCAAATTCTTGAGTAATGAATCATAAGGTATACTTGATACGGCACAAAACTCTTTGTTAGCCCATATTGACTCGAATTCTCCTCTTATGCAAACATCCACCCAATGTTTACAATATACCCTTGAATGAAGCAACTCATGATTGTCAACAAGAGTCCTTCAGTCAAGTTGGGTCAACAATCTCCTCTAACTAAGTAAATTAGAGAACGTGATGGCCCACCACGACATAACCAAAGGATCTTAATCGGGTTCATTACATTCCCCCCAACATCTGCTTTAAGAATACGATGATGAATTTCAAACATAAAAATTTTAATTTCAAACCCTAAAAAATGTGGATACCATACCTCGGGTATTTAGATCATATGTAATAAACAGCATTAATCGAAAGTTCCTCTTATTAGCAGGAGAGGTAATTAACCATTGAAGGAAATTTCAAACCAGACAATAAAGTCCTCGCAATATGAGGATGAAATCTTTAGGAAGTGTTTTATCTTAAAACTAACCCTTCTTAAGAAAATTTTACCTGAAACATTCATTCGCTAAAACTCCCACAAAAAAAGGCATAGAGAGGCCGAGGTATTAATTTTTGCAGCTCATACCTCCATAGTCATTTGTAAAAGAATAAATTCAACTCATAAAGAGCAAAAGACTTATCAAGCGTATTGATAAGAGTTATTCTCAAACCATCCCGTCAAAAAGGATGTGAAAATGGTTTTGCCGTGAAAAGGCACTATTAAATTATGATAACGGCCATAACCTACAAGTTCCCAAAGGCTAATAAATTCTGGAGTAATGAATCATATAATATACTTAATAGGGTAAAAGCCCTTTGTTAACTAAAGTTGACTCAAATTTATCCCCTTAGATAACTATACATCTCAATTCTATAAGGTACATTTCCATGAAGCAACTTATGGCTGTCAATAAAAATACTTTAGTTATGTTAGGTCGACTACTTCCTCCGACTAAGTAGACTAAAAACTATAACAATTTTGTTTTAAGCTGATGAAATCATGATATCTTGACTAGGTTTGTCGTCCAGATATGGCAGTATTTTACCCGCCCATGCGTTTAAGTTCAAAATGGTAAGTTTCAAATCCAATACTAAATTTGCTGCTACTATGTGCTCGATATAGAATGTTTGTCGAACAATTAATCTTGATTGAAAACTCTCTCATAACCAAAAAGGGTCATTAACCACAGATGTTTATGCCTATGAAAAATCTAAAATCATATCATAAAGTCCTTGCAAAAAAAGAAAACCTCTAGATAGTATTTTATTTTCAATCTAATTTGTCTTCTAAAAATTTGACCTGAAACATCTCTTAAAACTCTCTTAGGCAAAGACCGAGGTGCAAATTTTTAGAACCCACTGAGAATATTTTACATGATCGAACAAAATAAATTTGTCCTAAAGCCAAATTGTAATGATACAATATTCAAAGTGAGCAGACAATCACTTTAGTTTTATTAGATCTTTTTAAGTGTGCAATAATTGCGTTTCAAAGTTCTCTTACCATGTTCAATTTAGGTGTCATCAAGGTCTAATGAGATTGTGAAGTGCTTGATTTAGACACTAGTTATAGATGTTTAAATTTTGTCACAATTTTGACTCAAGGGATAAAATGTTAAGAAGTAACTCAATATTTTTTATAAGATATGCAAACCCAATGGCAGGTGCACTTAGGTTTTTGATAAGGGCATATCAGTGCCTTTTATTGTAAACAATATTTCGTAACTATTGTGTCCTCTCCCATGAATATAGACTTTGTTCAAGCCAACCCACATAAATTTTTATGTGTCTCTTTGTCTATACTTTTATTTATTGTATGTCTTTTTCTTTTTTGGTGCATTATATTTACTTCTGGAGGTGCTCTCACATTGGCATAGAAGTTCCATTGCTACGTTAAGGCAGAAAAAACTGACCTGGTTAAAATGTTGTTGCAACTTCTCATTTGTAAAATTGATACAGAATTGTTCAAAACTGTCCACATTAAAATGCACAAAACAATGGTAAGAGAATTACAATTTAAAACTTACAAATGAGATGTTTGCAAATCTCTATGATAAATTACCTGTTGCACTTAAAACTCTCAAAACCATAAATATCAAGGACTCCAATCAGAGACTTTGAATTTGGATCCTGCCCAATAGAAACATTGATCTTTTCCACTAACCTGTTGATGTATCACCGGTTATACTTGCATCACCTTTATAAATTTTATAGCTCTGCTCCTTACATGGTACAATGCCATGGAAAGAATTAATAACAGTCTATACTTGTTCTTACCAATCGAACAGGCGACAATATAAAGTCTTTGCCAAACCATCCCTACTGACAATTGCAGAAGCCGGGTCGAGAGTTCTCGTGATAATTTCTTCTGGTGTCACCATCACGCGCCTAATAAGTGCATCTTCCAGTCCCTGAACATCACACCTGCAACGAAAAACAGATTACAAGCAGTTGGCATTTTTAACACTGAAAATCACCACAACAACAACATCAAGACGTTATCCCGTGGGATCAGCTAAAATTAAATCAGAAGTTAAAAAATAAAATAAACTTACATCAGAAGTTCAGACGCTGTCTTAAGATGAAACCTAGACTTTTCATCCTTGATGACAGAAGAATCTATTTCCTCTCCTTTTGCAAAATCAATATTGCCTATATGAAGAATAGCAGCTACAACTCTGAATATTGCTTCCTGAAGAAAGCAATTTAAGTAATTCTCGTGAACTGATAAATAGGAGATATAATAATATTGAAGAAAACTTGGGACACAATTTTTTAAAAAATATCAAGTATTCTAAGAATAAATAATTAAACCAACCTGTTCGCTCTCACTGATTCCAACTATATCCATAGCCCTTATTGTAGCAAGATATTCAAGAGAATCATCAACTCCATCCAATTCATAACAATCAGACTGATTTAGATAGTGAAATGATTGTGGATTTCCCAACTTGTATTTATCTTTTACCTGCAAATTACATGGAATATTTTTTAAAAACAAGATTTTTGCACAAGGAATAAACAATATAATGAATAGGAAATATAAAATAGTAAAACAAAGTTGTAAAAGAGCCTTTGCTTAAGCACCTCTTGAGGAGCTGCACAAAGAAGGTAAAAGCAGTGGTAATTCCTTTCCGGAGTGTTAATTTGGCAAACACGTGATCTTTCAAGCAAGTAGGTCCTTATAGCAGCACCTGATATCCTTCCACTCTTGTCAAACTGTATTTCAACGAACTTGCCAAAGCGACTTCATTGTATGCCATCAATAAAATCAGGTGGTTATAGCTAGTGGGATATAAAAAAATTCATTGAGGACAGCTAAGGAAAGAAATTATCAAGCATATATAAAACCTAATAAAATGTCAAATTTTACACCTTCAGATACGATACTCCATGGATGCCACTGAACATAAACGCCTAAGTGAAAAAACAACAACTTATAATACCTACCTTGAGTTATTATTTCTAACAGTTTTTGCATTCCCAAATGCTTCAAGGACGGGGTTGGACTGGAAGTAACAAAAAGAACGCATAAAATTTATGTCAAAGAAATAAGGTACTTGCAAGATAAATGGAAGAAAAAAGGTGGTTTTCAAGAATTTTTAATGCATTATTAAGAAGAACATGGGATTTTTACTTACTTCCAAAACTTGTTGTTCAACCGTTCTCCCTTCTATTCCAGAGCGACCACCCAAATAAGCAAGGTATCTCATAAGCATCTTTGTTGTTTCCGTTTTACCAGCGCCACTTTCACCACTGACCAAAATGGAATTGCTCCTTCCTTCATTAATCATTGCCCTATATTCTTGCAGCAAAGCATACATCAACAGTTATTGTAAAAGACACTTGCTGTAGTGATACACAAATCAAGAAGAATTGCCTGTAAATTTAAAATTAAAAAAAAAAAAGAATAACCTGTAAGCAACATCTGCAACTGCGAAAACATGGGGGCTTAGCTCTCCAAATCCTGCACCTTTATACTGCCCCATCATGTGGGTGTCATAAAGATGTGGCAACCTTTGAAAAGGGTTTACTGCAATTAAGATATTGCCAGTATATGTCTGAAAGCTCAAAATTAAAATGTCAGTATCACAAAACCTTTCTTGTATCCTAGATAATACTAACACAGAACATAGAAAAAGATAGATATTTTACATAAATCTCATTGAGTTCATATCTTGCGGCAAGATTTTGAAGCACACCAGGTTCATGCAAATATGATAATCGTGTCATATCATCCACTCCTCCAGGCGGAGCTTCTGTATCCTTGGGAAATACCTTTGATACATTTGCAACAACCTAAACAGAAGTATTAAGAAAAAAATAATTATAGATTCAGATAAATAGCCAAATTCTAGAAAATATCAACAACAATAATAAGCCACTGTCCCACAACGTGGGGTCAGCTACATGAATTCTTTTTTCTCCACTATGTCCAATTAAGAGTGAAATTCTCATGTAAATCTAATAAAAAAAAATATCATTTTTAATATTTCTAACCAAGTCCTTTTAGGTCTAACTCTACCTTTCTTAGCATAGGTCAAATCTAATACATCTACTATCTTAGTGGGTTATCGGAAGAACGTTTTATGTCTTTTATGTGACCATACCATCTAAGGCAGCTCTCTCTAATCTTATCTGACACGAGCAATTCCAACCTTTTCACGTATATACTCATTCCACATTTTATCTCCGAGTCTAAAACCACTCATCCACATAAGCATCCACATATCTACAACACTTAACTTAATTTTATGGTTCTCTTTTAATGGCCAACGTTCAGAGCCATAGAGCGTTGCAAGTCTCACCACCATCTTATAAAATTTTCCCTTAAGTTTGAGGAATACTTTTCTATCACAAAACAAGCCCATTGCATTCCTCCACTTCAACCACCCAACTTGAATTCTACTAATAGTATCCCCATCTATTTCACCATCGCTATGAATATCATATCTGAGATATCTAAAACATGCACTCTTTCTAATGACTTGATCACCCAATATCACAATCCCACCATTAGATTTATTACTACTAAAATTACACTCCATACATTTAGTTTTAGATCTACTCAAATAAAAACCTTTAGACTCTAAGGTTGACCTTCATAATTCAAATTTTCTTTCAACTCCCTCTCTAAACTAATCAACAAGAAGAATATCATCAATGCATTTCTAGTGCTGACATAATCAATCTGAAACCAACATGAGTATTCAATTAATAAAAGTATAAGAATGACAATGGGGTTGAGCATATTTTGTGAGAGCAAACAAATATGATATTCCAAATTTTGAAGTTCAATATCCATAAGGCATAAGAGCATATTTGTTCTAGGATAAACAGGTTAACAAGATAAAAACAAAGAAAAGAAAATGACAGAGAACCCATGAAATTGAAAAAAAAAAAAACAGAAATGTAATGAGGTAAAAACAACTTCAGCAACTAACTAAGCCCCATGAGAACTATGGAAAGATTCTTAATAAAACATAAAAGATAATGATTGTAATTGGAAAACGTACCATTTTTCCCTTTATTGTGCGCACGTGGATTTCATTGCCCTTTATCTGGACAACCTCCCCATCAATCCAAGCCAAAACTGGATCTTCGACCCATACATGAGTACCAACAACGATGTTGCCTGGAGTTGCCTGCAAACACATATAGTTGATTAATATATCATTTAATGGAATTTTTGAAATGTGCAGAAGACATCCTTCATAATATAATCATTGTTACTTAGTTTTTAAAATTTACAGCATTATTACATTCCTGAATACTTTCTAAGCATAACTATGAAAGACCTATAAATTTTGTAATTAATTTAATAGCACTATAATCACTATTAAGCATTTAAATGATAGCACCATGAGCATTTTGTTACAATGCCGGCCCAGGAGGGGCCGGCTGAACCGGTCCAACAAGGACCGGTTCACTGTTATAGCCGGCAGCACAAGCTTGGGCGGAACCAGGGGGGCGGAAGCCCTAATGAGGCCCATTACTTAATTAAATAGTGTTTATGAGGGAAAATTTGAATGGAGGGCTGTTTTAGGGATTTTGTAAGCTTCCTTTAGCTTTAATTAGTCTTATGTAGGCTAGGATTTGGGTATCTTGAGATTTACCGAATTTTGGGATCTAGGTTTTGTTTTGTGTGGGCTCTAGGCTTTGCTAGAGATTTGGAGAGTATTTCTTCCTCTCGAACTGAAGAAATTTGCATCTTGCTTTGTTTTTCTTGTGGATTGAATCAAAGTATTTCCCTTGTGTTTCTTCTCCAATCTACTAAATTTTCTGCATGGTTCTTGCTGATTTCTCCTTGAAATCAGCCCTATTTCTCGCTGTTTTTGCCAATTCTTGCTAGGTTTGCTAGCGAACTAAAGTATTGCCCTTAGGGTTGCTTGCGAACACAAGTACTTCCTATCACATTTTTAGTACAAATCCATGATGACAATCATCATCATTAACCTAATCCCATCTACTTTGGGTTGGTTTAACAAATCATTATTTTTCATTCTTAAACCTATTCTCCAAAGTCCTTTTGAACAACTTGAATCATAGGGCTAATCATTTTCTTTTCAAATCATTTGATACTAATTTTATCTACACGTCAATTGTGAGCAATTTCTACCCGTCATTGTACATGTCCCACCACCTAAATCTATTTCTATCTTATCTTCAATAGTTGGTAGGTTAATCTCCTATTTAATATAATTATTCCTTTCTAATATTAACACACATCCTTATCACAACCCGAGATTATTGGGATAAGATTGATGGTGATGAGTATTGTCAAACATCCCTCTTGACATTCTCATTTTTCACCATAAACAACTTATCAATGATTTCTTAACAACTCATGATGCGGACATCGGCACGAAAATCTGGCGCATCTATCACAGGAGGCGTCGTAAATCGACGGCTCTGATTTAAGTTGTCATTTATGAATTATTTTCTGCATTTTAATTTCTATTTTATGCTATTTCCTATTTTACCCCTAGGTTAATTTATTTGAGTGTTGTGGCCCAAGGGGCAATTTTGTAATTTTTTTTATTTTCTCATGTTGTGGCCTATATATAGGGCCTTTAGCTATTGTAATAGGATGGTTAATGGATATGAAAATTTTGTGTTCCACACTTGTGTTCTTAGGAGAGAACGAGAGTGAGATTCCTATGGGAAGGAATCGAAGTTGTCACCAGCCGCAGGATG